AGGCATCTTGGAGGCCATCTTGGGCCATCTTGGCCGTCTTGGAGGCCATCTTGGGCCAAGTTGGGGCAACAAAGGCATTGACAGACGGATTTTTGGAAAATTACGGGTGGCCGGCGGGACGGGCCGAAGCCCACTGGGGAGTTCTTTTAGAAAAAGAACCAAAACCAAAACCTGAAACGTCCAGCACGCCGTGCACCCCTGCAAGCAGGGGGCGGCGGATCGAAGACGCCTACGGCGAATCACCGCCGCCCCCTGCCTTTTTGGAAGCGCCTATGTTGCCGAACGTTGAGGCCAGACCTGCCAAGCTATCGGACCACGTGTTCCCCGAATCGGTTTGGAAAGCCTTCGGGGAACACGTGGGCATCTTGAAGGTCCTCTTGGCCGTCTTGGAGGCCTCTTGGGCAAGCTTTGGGCGATCTTTGGGGCTTTTTGGGCCGTCTCGGGCCAGCTTCGAGCCAATTTCGGCCATCTCGGTGGGTTCCTGGCACGTCTGAAGCCGTCGGAAGCCGTTTGGGGGGCCTCTATGGGCCGACTTGGGGCCCGCTTGGAATGCTCCAGGGCCGTCTTGGAGGCCATCTTGGGCGTCTGGGAGGCCATCTTGGGCGTGTTGGAGGCCTCTTGGGCCCTCTTGGGGCCCTCTAGGGCCATCTTGGAGGCCACTTGGGCCATCATGGGGCTCTCTTGGGGGCCTCTTGGGCGATCTTGGGGGCTTCTTGGGCCGTCTTGAGCCGTCGGAGAGCCGAAAAGGCGCAAATGCAAAAATCCTTCAAAAACCAATGGAAAATCAATGATTTTGGCCTCTTCGGACTCTCCTGGAGGACCTCTTGGAGGCCTCTTGGGCCGTCTGGGAGGCCTCTGGGGGGCCTCTTGGGCCGTCTTGGGCCGTCTTGGACTCTCTTGGGCCGTTTTTGAGGCCGTCTTGGACCATCTCGGGCGGACTTGGAGGCCATCTTGGGCCATCTTCGCGATTTTTTGAGGATGTCCCGAGCGAAACGGCCGTTTTTGGGCATTGACAGACGCATTTTGGGAAATGCGCGGGTGGCCGGCGGGACAGGCCGAAGCCCACTGGGGAGTTCTTTTAGAAAAAGAACCAAAACCAAAACTGAATCATCCAGCACGCCGTGCACCCCTGCAAGCAGGGGGCGGCGGATCCAGTGGCCGTTGGCCTATCCCGCCACCGTGCGTGGGTGGTGGGTCAGAGGCCTCATGGATGCTGGTTGGGATCTCGTGGTTGGCTGGGACTTCTGGGGACCTCTTGGGCGCCTCTTGGGGCTTCTTGGGGGCCTCTTGGGCCTCTTGGGGCCACTAGAGGGCCTCTTGGGGGTCTCTTGGGAGCCTCTTGGGGCTTCTTGGGGGCCTCTTCTGCGCCCCGTGGGGCCTCTTGGAGGCCTCCTCGGAGCCTCTTGGTGCGGGAGGGGTGGTACTCGAGTTCGGAACCCCCTCGGAGGCCACGATCCTTGTGAGGGGTGTCAAAAACGCATCCGCCGGAAACTCGCCCCCCCCCCCCCACCCCCCCTTCCCCGGCAGAGCCACCCCGGCAACCCACCCATAGGCTGAGGCTCAGCCTCGAGGCTGTAGCTGAGACTCCTTGAAACTCACACGCCGGATCGGCGGATATTTGCCCGCACGCAGACTCAATAACAATCAGACGCGCTCGCGCTCATTCTCACCCGCGCTCAGTCCCCCGTGCTCAGGCCTATCGTATCCGTTCGTGTTGTGTACCCCGCCACTCATGTCGGCATACCCCTCGCACGGTTCGTAGCCCCATAGAGATCGCCACCGAAGAAGATGTTCACGCGGTAGTCACAACTGCATATGGTTGGGTCCATCGCCAGGATATTTTTTATGGTGGTGGTCGTGGTGGTTGTGGTGATGGTGATGCTGATGGTGATGATGGTGGTGGTGGTGGTCGCGGTGGTGGTATTGGCGGTGATGATGTTGATGTTGATGATGATGATGATGTTGATGATGGGGATGCGTATGGTGCTGCTGATAATGATAATGATGATGATGATGATGATGATGATGATGATGATGATGATGATGATGATGATGATGACGATGATGATGATGATGATGCTGATGATGATGATGATGATGATGATGATGATCAAAATTATGCTGATGATGCTTATGATGCTGATGCTGACCAACATTGTGATCATGACGCTCATGATGATCATGATGGGGGGGGAGGAGAAGGAGGAGGCGGCGGAGGAGGAATAGGAGGAGGCGCAGGAGGAGGATGAGGAGGAGGAGGAGGAGGAGGAGGAGGAGGAGGGAGAGGAGGAGTAGGGGGCAGCAGGACGAGGAAAGGGTACACCCATCTTACGAGGACGCACCATCTCATGCGCCGATGTGCCTTCCCTCCCTGCTTCTGCTCCCGCTGTTGCTGCTCCTGCTGCTGCCTGCGTGGTCGACAGCGACGCGATGCACTGCCCCCACGAGGCCAGGAGCCCCTCCAGCTTGCACCAATAGCGTTCCTCCTCCTGGCCAGGTGTGGTGCAGAGGCTGGTCAAGTGTGCACAAGGTCTAGGCCTCCCAGATGGGGTTGGAGTACAGAGGAAGCCCATGCTTGCCTCCAGTGCGCCCTGGGTTTCTTGGGTTTCGATGGCTTTGCCATGGAAAGCGTGACGTTCCTGCGCCGAGAATCAATGGACGTCCTGGGGTCCAAGGGTTGGGTTTCTTGTGGAAGGTTTCTTGTGGTCGGGCCCCCACTGTAGATGGGGTTGGAGGATCGTGCCGCATCGCCGATGCAATGCCGATGTGGCTCGATGTGAAGCCCGATTTGCCTCACGTCGACGTCGCCGATGCATTGCCCACGTCGACGAGGCATCGCCAGTGCATCGCCGATGCATCGTCGATGCATCGGCGATGCGGCGCGATCCTCCTCCGACCCCCCTCTACTCCGACCCCATCTAGGAGGTCTCTACAAGGGCAATGCTCGCATGCCTGATGCTTGATGCTGGTGATGCTGATGCAGGCTCGCCCCGTCCACATCGAAAGCCAGTCGCGTCTGCGACTGCCGAGCGCTTTGCCGCTCACCGGCAGCTGCAGCCGAGGCACGGCCTGGGGATGGCTTCCCAGGGGGCTCGGCCGGGCCACACCCCCTGTGTCGCCACGGCAACGGTTCTGCGCGGACGCGTGGGGTATGCTCGCGCGCCGTCTCTCGCGGTGCAGATGAACCTCGCTCCTCGCGTATGTTTTGTGGCTGTGGCCCTCTGACGGTGCGATGGGCGTGTTTGGTACCCTCCCAGGGGGGGGGTTGGAAGGAGGTCGGCGGGGACAAGGGAGAGAGGGAGAGGCGGTGATAGGAGTGGTGTCCACCATGGACGGTTCCAGGATCACCAGGCTAGTGGTAATAGGAGGTACTTGTATTGATACTTCTCTCTGATGCTTCATAACGGAGTTGATGTCTCCTGACGAGGCGACCTGCGCCACTTTGCGTCTCGCAACCAGGAGCAGGCTGCCGTCACAGCAGCGACCTAGGCTTTGCAAGAGTAACATGGAAGGAGAGAGCAAGCGAGAGACAGCGATCTATATATATATATATATAGAGAGAGAGAGAGAGAGAGAGAGAGAGAGAGAGAGAGAGAGCGAGAGACAGGACGATGAAGATGCTGCTGCTGCTGTTAATGTTGTTGGTGTTGCTGCTGCTGCTGCTGTTGTTGTTTTTGTTGCTGTTGTTGTTATTGCTGTTGTTGTTGCTAGTCTTGTGGTTGTTGTTGTTGTTGTTGATGGTACAGTGGGTGATGATTACGACGACGATACTGATGATGTTGATGGTGATGCTGATGATGCTGATGATTATTCAGATGATGATGATGCTGTTGTTGTTGGTGTTTGATGATGCCGCCGATGATGATGGTTATGCTGATAGTACAGATCATTATACTGATGATGATGATTATGATGATGCTAATGCTGATTATGTTGATGCTGATGATGGCGATGAAGATTGTGATGCTCATGCTAAGGCTGACGCTGATGCTGCTGATAATGATGGTGGTTTTGATGATGATGATGCTGATGCTGCTGCTGCTGATGATGATGATGATGCTGGTGCTGGTGATGCTGATGGTGCTGATGCTGATGATGGCGATGCTGATGCTGATGATGATGCTGCAGCTGATGAATATGATGCTGACTCTGCTGATGATGATGGCGCATATGCTGATGACGATGATGCTGATGATGATGCTGCTACTGCTGATGATGATGATGATGATGCTGATGCTGATGCTGATGATGATGATGATGATGATGATGATGATGATGATGATGATGATGATGATGCTGATGATGATGATGATGATGATGATGATGATATGATGATGATGATGATGCTGATGAGATGATGATGATGATGATGATGATGATGATGATGATGATGATGATGATGATGATTTGGGGTCCCCCCTCGTGAGTCGGCCAAATTCGGTAAGCTCAAGAGGCCTGCAAAGGTCCGAGTGCCTCCACCTCCAAAGTATGACCACATCCCTGTGCGACATGGTTTTATTCAGAGGTGTAAGAGGTGTTTAAGACAAATCTCTGCTTCGAGCCAGTCCCCGTGTGGTGCCCTGAATCCCAGGCTCTCGGACCTCCTGTGTGGAGGGGGGGGGGTCCCAGGCATCGCCTTCATTGGGCCAGGGTGGCATTTCCTTCCCTAAGTTGCCTCACGAGCCCCCTAAGAAGAGCTCGGAGCGCTCCAAACTTCTCAGGAGGCTCCTTCCTGGAACCAAACGCAGACTGGGCCAGTCGTTTTCCCTCTCGTCCCTTCCTTTTTCCGCCTTCCTGCCCCTCTTCCTTCAGGAGGGGAGAAACACAGAGACACGATTAATCGTCGCTTCCCAGGACAATCTGGAAACATATAGGGAAGTGTGGGGGGGAAGACAAACACCCAGAAACGTATGGGAAACGATGGGGAATTCTGTTATCTGTGTGTATTTCTTTGCGTGCCTCCGGGCCCCTTCCTTCCTGCCCCTGCCCCTCCTCCCGAG